CAAAGACTCCCACCCTCGCCTGGGGACACACACAGCCTGCTGTAGGGTCACGATCTGAGAGTGGGATGGTGAGTGTCCCACCCCTGAGGTGTGTGCATGTGACCACTGCTGGGACAACATAGAAGCCATGACACCTACCAGAGAAGGTCCCTGAGAAGACCCCTGGGGCGTGGTTCACGAAGCTCTCGATAATGGCACCAGGTTTTCGGGAACGGGAGGTGGGGCTGCCCCCAGGGGTGGATGTGGGGCTGGCCCGGGCACTGGCAGCAGGGGAACAGTCCATCTGCTGATGGAAGAGGGGGACATAGCTTAGGGTATAAGAAAAGGCCTTGGGGTTCAGGGTTCGGGACCACCCACCAGCCCAGGATCCAGCGATGGCCTTTAAAACATGCAGTAGGGGCTCTGAGTCCCTTCTCCACCCCCTCCAAACAGCCCACCTTTGGGTTTGAAGGATAAGCCCTTCCCAGACTCACCTCGGGGCAGGTGGTGGGGGCTGAGTGGGAACGGAAGGAGCCGGCCGTTACAGGTGAGGGGGATGCAGGTGCAGGGCTGGTGGGCACTGGGGGGACACGGACAGTACTGGACACTGGCCGGCAGGGAGAGGACACAGGAGTGGTCATGCTGGGGTCCCCACGGGTGGCAGCGGTTGCAGCTGCCAGCACATGGCGGTGTTGTAGTGGGGCGTGCTGGGCCGCAAGTTGAAGCTGGACGAACATCATGTGGTCACCCACTCGAAGAGCCAAGGTCAGCGGTGAGCGGCCTGACAAGAAGTCACTGACCTGCAGAGAGTGGCCCGTCAACCCCAGGGTCCCAGCCCTAGGCGCCCAGCCCGTCCCGGCCCGGCCCCCCCACGCTGTGTGACCTGGGGCCTCTCGCCGCCCCTCTCTGGGCTCTGGGGTCCCTGTCGGTGCCACGGATGCTTAAATAAAATGAATCGGTATTTCCGGAAGCCGCCTCCGCCAGCCCGGCCCGGCCCGGGCGCCGCTGGGGGCTGTGGGGGACAGAGGCAGGTCAGACAGGGGGGCCTGGCCCTCCTTGGCCAGCTTGGTTCTTTTAAGGGGAAACTGAGGCCAGAGGGGGCGGGGCCTAGCCAGAGGTCACTGCCCTCAAATAACCCTCACCTTGTACCTTTCCCCACCCTCTCAAACCCCCAGATCCTCTCTGCCTATGATTATGAGAGATCTATCTCAGGCCCCCTCCCAGTTAAGCCACAGGGGTGGGCAGCAAGTGGGTGGAATTGCCGGACAAATTCTTCATCCTAACCTTTGCTTTCTCAAGATAAATATTTATCTGTCCTGGGCGGGGCGGAGGCTGAGAGAGAGGCGTCACTGTGGGAAGGGGCCCTGACTGGTTCCCTGGAGCCAGGGTCCCGCAGGGCCTGAACACAGCCCACGCACACATGAACCTTCCAATTGGGGTCCCCCTTCACCGAGGGTGTGAGGTGCCTCTGACCCGTCTGCAGTGGGGCCTGGCTAGCACAGAACTGTCCCCAGGGGCCGGGCTGGGGTGGGTGCGGGGGGGAGGTTTCTGAGAAGTGACAGAGGCTGGATGACTCAGAACAACCGCCTCCCAGCTCTCCCCTGGCAGCGGCTGGCGTAACCTTCTCTGCTTGGGGGCCTTGGGGAGGAGGCGAGGGAGGCAGGCAGTGAGAAGCCCCCACCTCCCAGCCCAGTCTGCATGACCCTCCCCCACCCCCAGAAATGCCCCTTGCAGAAAGGGCCTGGGGTAGCTCCCAAGAGCAGCTGGGTCACCCCCCCAACACCCACTCCCTCCCGCAACTTCCTCCCTGGGGAGGGCAACCGGGCAGGCATGATGTGGTGCCAGGCAGGGAGCAGCCCTGGGAGCCCAGTCAATCCACCCAGCCCCCCTCCCTATCTCCCTCGCAGGCACCCCGGGGCGGATGTGAACCAAACACAGAGGGCCCCCCTGGCAACCACATCACCCCCCCAAGAGTAGGGAGCTCAGTTCACATCTGCCCCAGGAAATCAGGAGACACCCTGGGGCTCCCAGGACTCCCGTTCTTCCCCACCTGGCTGCCCCTCCTGATGGCAGACCACCCAGCTACTGCTCTCCCCCCTCTTCCACACTAGCCGGCTGGTGAGGGCAGGATGCTACATGTCGGGGAGGGGGCGAGGGCCTCAGGCAGGAGGAAGGGAAGCGGCTGAGCAGGTTTCCTGCGGCTGGCCAGCCCAGACAGGGAGGCCTAGAACCTGCCCACCCCCTCTAGGGGAGGGCAGCAGCCTGCTTCCCCCACCCTGGCAGCAGGCGGATAGCTGAGGCCTGTGTCACCCTCCTGGGAGGAGGCCCTGCCGCCAGAAAAATGAGAAAAGGAGGGGGGAAAGGCTGCAACAAAACCGGGAACCTGGGTGTGGGCCAGCCCAGGCCTCCCTCCTCATCTTCCTCCAGGCTGCTTACTAAATATTTTCCTAACATCCTGTGTTGGCCTCGCTGGGTGCCTGGTTGCCCCCACCCCGCCCCTCCCCTCCCCTTTTGGGTCAGAGAACAAAGGCCAGAAAGAGGAGGGGGAGGGGTGACTACCCACCCCTCACAATGGGGTCACGAAAGGCGGAAGGAGTGTCACCCAGGCCAGCCCCTCCCTCTCCCCACTAGCAGAAATTTTATAAAGGTCGCTCTGGGGAAACTTCAGTGGCCCTGGAGGGGGGGCACTCAGGGACACAGGCCCTGGGGGTGGGAGCCTGGGCTAAGGTCACCCGCAGGCAGGCTTGTGAAAGCTGGGCCCCCATCCCCCATGGCAGCCACCGTGGGAGAGAAGGCCCTCAAGGTCAGGTGGTGAGTGCTTGGGGGGAGGAGGAAGAGGAAGCTGGGTGACCAGGCCAAGCTGGCAAGAAGGCGGAGCAGCTCCAGTCCCCTCCCCACAGGCCTCCTCCGAACAGAAACAACCCCAGGCTCTCCAGAGGGGTTGGGCTCGGGGCCTGCTAGCCCCTGGGCGAGGAGGGGCGGCACTTGAGTCTCACCTGGGTCTCTGTTAAGCTCTCCAGAGCCTGCATCACAGACTGTTCTGGCCTTGAGGCCTGAGACTACAAAGAGAAGGAGGGGAAGAGACCCTGAGTATGCATTCTAGGTTGGGCACCTGGGTACAGGGGCTGGGAGGGCCCTGCTAGGTGGGGGGGGACCCAGACAGGTGTGAGGGGGACCATGCTGGCATGAAAGGGCGCTGCCCTCCCATGTTGGGGCCTCCTCAGCCATTTACCATGAGGCCCGCCTCCACGGTGGGCACGAGAGTCAGCTTGCTGCCATCCCCCACGCCGAACTCCTGCAGCTTCCCCGAACTGAGCCGGCTGGTGGGGTGGGGTGGGGAGGGGGAGGAAGGAAGAGGGTGAGGCTACAGCAGAGACCAGGCAGGGACGCGGAAGCAGACGCCGAGGGAGTGCTTGCTAGGGAGACAGAAGTCCTCCCACCCCCATCTCTACCTGGCCGCTAGACCCTGGGCCCTGAAAGTGGGGGCGAGGCTCACTAATCTGGTCCTGGGACCCCATGCTAGTGGTTCAGACCCCTTCTCTCAAGGAACCCCAACTCTGGAGTGGGGCACCCCCTTTGCACCTCAGCAAGACACTTTTTTTTTCCTTACCCGGGCCCCACTGTGCCCTGTGACACCCTCCCAGCCACCCCAGGGCCAGCCCTGCCGGTAATTCACGAACTCCAGTCCTGGGCTCCTCTTTGTGGGGCCACAGGACGGAGCCTTCAGGGGCTCTGCCTGGCAGGGTTCCCCCTCCTCCCTCCTTCACTGGCGTAGGCAGCCGCCGTTCAGACAAAGGAGACCCTCCCCCTCTTGCCCCTCCCCCACCGAGGCCCCTCCGCTGGGGATGGACACAGCGAGTCCCCGGAGGCCAGCAGGAGGAGGGCTTCCCAGCCTGGAGGCGATTTAAATACCATGGGGGAGGGGGAGGGGAAGGCTGAGGGGAGCGCTCGTGGCGAGAACAAAGGGGGGCAGAGAGACGCAAGTGGAAGGAGACAGCCAGACGCACAGAGGGCTGCCGAGCAGATGCGGAAGCCGGCGGAGAAGCAGGCAGGGGAAGCGACAGCAGCGGCCCCCCTACCCCCGCAGATGGGAGCACCGCGCCGTCCCAGGGCTCCCATCGTCCCGCGAGGGGTGTCGCCTGAGCCCAGCGGGAGGCACCGTCGCAGCAGCCTTTGTGCAGCGACCCCAGGCGGGGGAGGGGGCCGAAGCAAGCAAGGCCGAGCAGAGGGCGCCCGAGAGCGCGCCAGTCCCCCCACCCCCGGTCTGGCCGCCCCCTTCCTTTCCCGAGCTGCGAGCTCTTTGTTCCCGTCCGGGGGCCGGGGCCATAGGGAGCAGCAGGCCAGGGGTGCGCTGCGGCAAGGGCGGCGCTCGGTACCTACGTGTCTTTGTGGAGCAGCGCCAGGCGCTCCTTGGGCACTTTGAGGCGCTGGGACAGCCGCTTGCGCAGCCCCTCCACCGTCTCGTCGGGGGACACCGACAACTCGTAGCGAGTGCCCGTTGTGCTGTGGATGGCCAGGCTCATGGCTGC